AGTTAATTACAATGCCTAAAACAACTTGAAACCAATTTTAGCCTGGTGAATACTAGTTCACCTGAATAAGTTTCAAGTTCAACTACCAAGTTTATTAAAATAACTCTAAATAAAATGTGTTATGTAATAGGGTCTATAGGACATAGAATTTTTCAAATATCTGAGCAACGTAGAGTGGGGCCAATGTCCTATTTTTTTTTTCCTTTAAATCATTGTCTGTTCAGAGTGCTGTTATTGCTGTTAATGTTTCAAAGGACATTTTTTCTAAATAAAACAAATGGTGTATATAAAAACTTAAGGAAAAAATGTTTACATGAGATAAAATTATGTTAGTAAAATCAGACTCTTGTATTTTCAATCAGTCTAACAACTTCGAATCACAAGTCCTTTAAAGAATTGGTGAAGATATTTAGCTTTGTGACATCTCCTCTTTCTAAAATATTTTTTCTTTTAGTCTATTTTTATATGAAGTTTTGATGTATTTATAGTGAGTTTTATATAAATGTAGATATTTAAAATGATGGAGCATATTTCTAAATTATGGTTGACTTCCTAGAGAATTGATGTCCTTGATCTTTAGACGCAAGCTTATTCAGAGGGAAAGGCCACAGAGAGGAAGGGACTTGGGACACACCTGGAAGAGCTATAATTCTTTTTCTAATGTTGCCCTTCTTCCTTTTCAAACCCTCTTCATATTAGGGGTGCTCTTCTTCACCCACACTATTCCTTTCCCTTCTTATATTTAACAATCTACAAGTGGTTTGGCAAAATAGATTTAGTCTGATATATCACCAACTTCTACTAGAATTTTTCTTTTTAATTAGTAATAGATTTAAACAAGGAAAAAAAAGCTGATGGGCTTCTAGGTCTCTTTGGAAGGCTAAGAACACAACTTATAACTTATCAGTTTTGATCAAGGTCAGGAAACCGGATATCTAATCCCAGATCACCAAAAAGCGTAGATAGCTCTAAAATTCTGAATTTTATTCTTAGCAATGCATATAGAAGTTTATGTTGTTGAGTGGGAACTGAGATCTGGGGACTGAAGACACAGCTGAGTAGTAAAAAGCCTGTTAGTGTGTGCAAGGACCTGGATTTGGCCCCCCAGTGCTGAAAAGCAAAGCAAAGAAAAACAAAAAGAACCCTGACTTGGCTTCACAGTGTTTCTCAAAACTAGGAGAGCAGGAGACACTTGTTTCTACATCTATGATACATCAAGTTCCTAGAAACATCCTGTAGCATAAATCATGCTATATTTTCCCAGGAAGAGCTATGCTCTTTGTGTTTGACATATGGCTGAGGTGGGTAACCAGCTGGGAGAAGCAGGTAAGAAAATCAGCAAGCACTGCACAGCATCAGTTTTCTTGAACACTCTTCTTCTCAGTTTTTCAAATGTTGGCAACTGTTTACTCAAGGACCATGCTTTTATATTTGTAATGGCCAAGCGTTTTCTGTTCTTCTGGACCTTTGAATTGGCCATGACTTACCTAGCACCACACCTTTTTCTGAATGTATGCAGTTACCAGCAAGATTCTCCATTTCAGACACTGGAGTTAGTGATGATCACATGGTCCAGCCATGACCTCCCTTTTTGTAGCTTTAAAACTCTAACTCTACATTACAGTGGATGTACTTAGGATTTAGAACTTTATGACATTATCCAAAATCATTTTCTACATTTATTCAATTAAGAATCTGCCAACTCTGGTCTCTTTCTTTCTTCCTCCTTCCTTCCTTCCTTCCTTCCTTCCTTCCTTCCTTCCTTCTTCTTCTTCTTCTTCTTCTTCTTTATCCTGAGTCCGTCCTGTGCTAAGATGCAGAGATGAGAAGACAAGGTGTCTTCATGCTGTCCTGGAACTCACTATGTAGACCAGGCTGGCCTTGAACTCACAGAGATCTGCCTGCCTCTGTCTCCCAAGTATTGGGATTAAAGGGGTGTGCCACCACGCCTGGCCCTCTGGTAACTTTTTTCTATAAATTCATATAAATTAATAGTTGGTACGTTCTATTCCCTTGACCAAGTACTAGACTGTCAACTAACCATTTGGGACTGGAACTCTTACATGACTTCACTCAATCTTCACAAAGCCTCTTCCAGAGTGAGCATAATGCCTGCTCTGAAAATATCAGGCTCAGGTGAGACTTACATGATATCCTAAGTTGCTATAAGTTCAACCTATATCTAGAAGGTAACCTGGGTGTTTTTCAAATTTAAATATTTTCTGTGAACATCATACGTGAGTATCATCTTCACACCATTTCTATCTCTCCCAGTCCCCCCCAACTCCTCCCACATCTTCTACTCCCTCTCAGTTTCCTTTCCCCTTCTTGATTAGTGTCGTTAAATGTACACGCATGTATTTTGATTGACTCCAAAATTTATATCCCTTCTCTGCTCATCTGTGGTTTTTGGCCTCCCTCCCTAAAATTAAGTATATTATGATGAAAAATAGTAAATTAGCAAATAAAGTAGTAAAATGTAATGACCATAAAGGAGAACAATTTTGAAGGCTATAGAAGACAGTTAAGTTACAGTTGAGAGTCCAGGGAAAATGCAAATTTTATCAGTTTATTTTTGTATTCTGATTGTAGTCATTAATGGTTCTTATCTTAAGCTCTTGATTTATATTCAACTGTTCTGAAGAGGTGGAAATCAAATGGAGTATTTTTAAAGGATCAAACAATGTCTGGAGTATGGGTACCTCACATCTCAGCCTCTTCCAGCTGCCCATGATGACTTTGGAAGCAGCATCTGGTGATTCCTCCTCACTGCCTTGCTCTGTGCTTTTCTACACAAGATAGGAACATATGGATGATTCTAAGCAGATTTTATAGCTGACTGCGCACCAGGCTCCTCCACAGGGTAGGGTGCACGCAAGTGCTTGGTAGCAGCTAGATCCTCTTTACGTAGACATTTTGCTCCTTGCCTATCCTGGCCTTCCACATTTATCTTACTGTTTCAATCATTTCTTGATCCTGTAACCTGTCATCCCCACAAATTTCATTTCTGGGATAGTATTACAGAATTGAGGAACAAAGTGGATGAGGTGACAGGAGACTGTTTCTGTCCTCAGCTCATCCTTTTAGCAATTTTCTTACTTGGGCACATTATTTTCTTAGAGCTTCATATTTCCTTGTCTTTATAACAACTTTTGCCCTTCTGCTGCCATACTATGGCATGACATGCTCCACAGTAGTGTGGCCTCAACCATTCAGAACAGGGGGGAGAGATAGCCAGGTACCCTGGGGTGCTTCAGAATTGGGAGGACTGATTATGAACACTCGTTTATACTGCTTGGGGTCTATAATTGTAAGAACTTGAGAAGGGCTAAAGAGAAAAGTCACAGCAATGTTATATTGTAAAATATAGTACACCCTGTGGTTTGCCATATCTTGACAGGAGTTTTGCATTCTGAGGGAAATCAGGGTTCCTGGCTTCAGACATAATGGAAAATGCAGTGGCATCTTCAGAAACCATCTTAAGTATTTGAAGCCATTATTCAAAATTTTTAATATTTTTAGAATTTATTGTATTTTTCAAACATTTTACTGCATTTGTTTGAAACTTGAATTCAATGACAACACATTCAAATTTTACATCAAATACACATGTATGAAAATATACATAAAAATTTTAATTTGACTTTTAACATAAATATGGCCATAGCAGAAAGGAGACCAGTAGGAACAAAACAATTCACCTTGTTCGATGAATTTTGAAGGAGAACCTTTCCCGCCACAGGTCAGAAACATACTCAAAGCTAAGTCTTCATTCTGTGCTCATAATAATTACTATTGATGCTACAGCCTCTAGAGTGAGTTCTCATCATCTCTTTTCTAGTCCCTATTGCAACTCAACAAGGTACAAGGGAATAACTGCCTGTCAGTAACCACTGCTCTGAGAGTTCTCAAAGATGAGAACTGTTTCTTTCAGTTTTCTTGCTGCTAACATCAACTTCATGCAGCACGGATGCATGAATCTTCTATAGTGCTATAATTATATTTATTATATATAATAATTATATATAATATATAATCTATAGTGTAGTAACTATATTGTATAACATATATTTGTATAGCTACATAGTTTTCTCTTGATACAATGAAAGGCAGGGACACAGGGATGTTAAGCACTATGTATAGACACTAGGAGTTTCCTAGTGTTTAAACTTCACTCATCGAGTTCTCATTCTAGATTATCTCACTGTTCTGTGTTAGAAGAAAGTCAAGAATGTTTATTAGTAAATGCCATCTGAATATGATATATAACATGATAATCCAATTTTAGTAAATGTCCAAGTTAAAGTTACATGGAATGGAAGATTGTTTTCATTCCTTCTCCCATTTCTCCCAGGAGACTTGTAGAAAGTCAATATACCATACTTAACTTCTAAGGTTCTGCATAGAAATACTATTGGTGTGTAGTGGGTCATCTCATGATCCAGGTACATCTCAGTTCAGGAAGTATTCTCATACCTTGGGGAACGGATTCTCTGTGTGACAGTGGGATGTGGTATCTGATACCTTACTTTATTGGCTTCACAGGTATTTTTTTATGTATCCCAAATGGCTTAAAAAGCTATAAATAAAATGACTTAGCTATAATTATGTCTCTCATTCATCAGCCCTGTGTTTTGCTGAGTTCTTTTCTAATTTACTACTTTTAAGACTTATTTAAGCTTGAAAAGCAAGAGAGAGTAAGGAGATGGAGGTGACAGTGAAAGAGAAGATGTAATTATTTTCCCTCTTCCAAAGGAGATGCTTGAGAAAGACAGTAAACATTCCACTATGTGTATTCCAGGAAACTGTGACTTCATGATAGCTTTATATGTAGGAAATATTCTCAAGTGGAACTATAAAGGACCGTAGGCCATTAATCCTGACAGATGTCTTGAAAATGTATTGTTACAAGCCATGCTTTAATCTAACACCAGTTGGAAATATCTGCTCCCACTCTTCAGCATCCTATGTTGACCATTGTTTTCTGGTTTGTGTTCTAGGACCCCCATACAGTCCCAGTCTTCGTATGGTAACAGCTCCCCACCTCTGAACAAAATGAACAGCATGAACAAGCTGCCTTCCGTGAGCCAGCTTATCAACCCTCAGCAGCGCAATGCCCTCACCCCCACCACCATGCCTGAGGGCATGGGAGCCAACAGTAAGCACATCTTCCTTCAGCTTCAGCCAAAGGATGAACAGAGCTAGTACAGGAGAAAAATGCTTCGGGGCTGTGAAAACCCCCTTTTCTAAGCTATGTAAAAGAGAAGCACAGTGGGCAGATCAGACCACAGTTGAGTGACTTGGCTTTTTCACAGTTAACTTCTCATTCTCGAGGTATGTGTTGCATCACAAAAAAAAAAAAAAACCTTTAGTAGAATTGAATGAGGCATATGGGATAAGGATCTAAGGGAGAAAAGAGCAGTTCACTTCCTGCCAACCTGGATGGATACCAACCTCTTTCTTCCTTTGACATAATCTAAAGGAAGTGTATCCAAAATGTGGGAAAAAGAATTTAACTCTAGTCTGGATTCCTGTAAAATGAACTGTGTAATGATGGACAAGTCAGTTCTTTGCTCTGATGGCCTACATCCCATTTCTCAGATGATCTGGCTACACATTTAGCTTTTTACATGTCTGTATCCTTACAGTTTTATTCCATCCCATATACATCCCTTTACTTATCCAGACACAAATTCCTTATAGTGATTAAGTGTAGATATAGAAGACAGGGAAAAAAAATCAGAACCATACAGACTGTGATTGTCCTATATATAAATAGCAATTTACCTTGTCTATTATAAATAAATCTAGCAAAGAGACACACAGACTTGAATAAATTAAAAAATAAGTAAATGCAGAAGGATAAATGTCTTTTTCAGGCATGCAAAAAACTGAGCAGTGTAGGTTTCCTACAGTCCTCACGCTATTAAGAAAAACAAATCTTGTCCTTCAAAATCATCATTTTGATCAAACCTCTGTTTTTCATTTTTTCTTTGGAAAAGCTAGGTTTTCTGAAAGAAGTTTGGGAAACTTGGGATTGTCAGTCTCTGTATGGCAGCTCACACTCATTTTTCAGTGAGACACAGCATGCAGGTGGTTACCCAGTATGGTAACATGGACTTTACACCAGGCTCCTCCTTTACTCATGATAATGCATCCTAAGACCCCAAACCTGACAAGGAATAAAATGCACTCATTATCTACTTTATTTTCTTCCTTGTGACATAACTAAAATGTCCAGCTGATTCTAGGGATGACAAGATAGTGGTAATGATTGCAGTATTTCACACACAACTTTGTTTCCCTGCCTTTTATTTATAGTACGCAGTTATCCTCTGATTCACTCAAAGAGTTCAGAGGGAAATCAACTTAGGATACCATAGGCCTGTGCTTTGCAGCCAGCGGCATAGCAGCAAAGGTCTGTCCCTTGGGCACAGTTCTAGCACTGTTTGTAGAAACAAATTCAATTCATCTTTTCTAGACATATTATTCTCCTTCTTTTGACTAGAAGGAAAAATTCACATATATTGTTAATGATGAGCCCTTTTGGTTAGTGAATGTGTGTATTTCATGGTTATGGAAAATGCCAGTGAGTATTGGCTATAATCCTGCACAGAATGCAATCAGAACATAGAAAAAAGTTAGAATCTTAAATTGTCTCTTATTAGGCATAAGGTTTTCTAAAATGCCACAGCAAGTCCTCCTATTTACAAATAAACCTTATAAACATGATTGTTCATTTCTTCTCAGTATAAGCTTTTGGGTATCTCACTGTACCAGGCTCTGTGCTACATCTATAAGGATTAAAATTTTGATAAGAGCTGATCTCTACACTAAAGGAGATGAATATAGTGACAGAAACAGAAATACAACCCATGAAGGCCAATAGAAGGAGAAATCCATCAACATTAGGGATTAAGAGCAGTTAGACAGGAAATTAGAAGAGAAGGGTGAGAAGAGATTGCCCTAGAACAAAGGTCCAGAATTGTGGATTAGTTTGGAGTTCTGGTAACTATTCTGTTTAACTAGACACTGGCTTTTGGTAATATTCAACCAGGCACAGTGGGATGCTGAGACATGGTAATATAGTAACCCCCTCTGTTCCTCCTGCTTCTGTTCAGTTCCTATGATGAGCACTCACATGCCAATGGCTGGAGACATGAATGGACTCAGCCCCACCCAGGCCCTCCCTCCCCCACTCTCCATGCCATCCACCTCCCACTGCACGCCCCCACCTCCGTATCCCACAGATTGCAGCATTGTCAGGTGAGTGCACAACATGTGCCCCTGGGGCCTGTCCTAAACATCTTTGGGTGGTGGAGGGTAGACACTGTCAAAGTTGATAAAACAGGTTTGAAAAAAAAAAAAGAAAGCAGCCTTAGTGATCAAAGGAAGCCTAGCCACTCTCTTCTCTGATCTGTAGAGTGGTCAGCATAGCTCAATCAATCACTTCTATAACTAGTATGGGGAAAGTGAACATGTGGGTGTATGCACACAGGTTTCAGACCTGTTTCCTGATCTCCAGTCATTCCCTCCTCCTCCTCCCTGTATTTACACTGTCATTTGCGGCCAGTGAATTGGTGCTCAGGGCTGGGTTTCCTCAAAGGGAAGTAAACCTGCTATCTTGCTCCCTTTCCTGCTCGCTAGGCCTCATAGCTCTTAGCCATCATGGGACCATAATTTTGGAGTTGGATGTCCATAAAAATTGTAAATATTAGCAAAAATGCAAGCTTTTGAAGAAGGCACTGTTGCTCTGCATATAGAAATGGGGATACTCTAGGCAAAGGGGTTTCAGATGGACAGGAGATGGAAATGCATTAAGTCTGCAAGCTGTGTCCCACGGAGGCAAGACTAACTCCCCAAGTTCCATGCTCAGGGTTACCTCCTCTGCCTCTTCTTCCCAGGAAACATAGCTCTCACCCTTGGCTGCTAGCAGGATATGTGCTAGACTCCATTCAATGTCATGTGGCTTCTCTCAGCAGAACTTGGCCCTGGGATGGTGATGACATCATCAGTCTCAGGCCAGCATTATAAAGAGGAAGATTTGTATTCTGAGGACATAAGTCTAAAAGTATTGATGACATACCAGAGATACAATATTTTTAACTATATAAGCCATTCTTTAAAAACTCCAATACAAAATAACACACATAGACATTTTCAATATGAATTGAGGATTCAAGAGGCAAGAGGGCTGGGTACCTGACCCTTTATCTTTGCCCTCTGCAGTGACTCCTGAAGCATTTATACAAGACTGCAGCATGCTCAAATCACCACCTGCCAGGATTCTTGTAGTTGATTTTATTTTCAGTTGACATCAAGTCAACTTTCCCAACAACCCCAGAATCTAAGGCCTCATATAAGGCCCGTATATATTTTATCTGCCCCTAGTCTCTTATGCAGGGCATCCAAGGGCAAAATGTTGGGTTTTCCTTTATCTCGCCAATGCAGTTGGGGTGAACTTTCTTTTTCTGTTTCCTCCTTCCTCCTCCCTCCTCCCTCTGCAGTTTCTTAGCAAGGTTGGGCTGTTCATCATGTCTGGACTATTTCACGACCCAGGGGCTGACCACCATCTATCAGATTGAGCATTACTCCATGGATGTAAGTAACTGTTAGACTTTCCTCTTGAGTTGTATCTCCTCATTTTCTCCCTCTGGTACAAATGTCTTGTAGGTCTATCCACATGGCTTTAGAATTTGTTTTTGTCATGCTTCTAATCCTGGGTTCAGAACCCACAACCATGTTAGAAAGATTCCTCACTTAGAAGCTGCACAGTTAATATGACTTGGCGTCTCTGTTCAGTCGTTGATGATCTATTATACCCCAGTATATGCGAAGATGAGAAAGAAGATATTTAAGTCATACAATTATTTTAATCACAAAAGAGGTGGCTGTAATCCCAGCACTTGGGAGGCTGAAACAGCAGAATCGCTTAACTCAGAAATTTGAGACCAGCCTGGGCAGCATAGTGAGACTCACGCAGAGATTGTTTAGAATGTCCTCATTAAGCTATATGGATTAATCTATGCTAATTTCCAAGGCAGGAGAACAGAAAATAAGTGGTATAAGTCTCAGTTAAATATATGGAAAAATGACAAAACTGTCATTGGCCATAATGATTAGATGACAGAACATCAAGGAGCAGAAAGCCTGGGTGTGAACACCTGGAATCCTGATGACTGTTTTTTTCTGCCTCTTCTTAAAGTAGGACATTAAGGGTAATTCAGCTGTTATCAATTAAAATTGTATTATCCTCATTTGTAATTCCAATCCTCATCCCCCTTCATCAAGGATGATTTTACTGGCCATGGGTTCAAGTTCCAGGCATGCTTTTTAGTAGTGATGAAAACTTGAGGTTATCACTTTGCTGGACTTCAGTTAATCAAATTGGGTTATAAATTCTGCTCTTCTGACTTTGAAATTCCTTGAAGGACGCTGCATGTGATGGCACTTTTTCTTGCTTTCCACTCTGCTTCTTGAACTTCTGTTCACATGGGAGCTACTAGTGTCGGTGTTTTCGGCAGTCTGGTTTTCCCTCTGGGCTGCTCTTTGTACTGCTGTCTTTGGCGTTTCCTGTCCTCTGTTCCAGCTTCCAGAGGGCACGTTGGACTGGCGGGAGAAGACAGCCTCTGTCTGTGCTGCTGCTTCTGTAGTTGGGCCTTCTTCCCCTCCTTGAGCACCGATGCTAGAGATGCCCATGCAGCATGAGAATGCCCCCATCCTGTGGGGCCCAGAGTACACCATGCTGCCTTTACACCCATCCCTTCCCACTCCAAAAGTCATCCCTGGATGCTTCCTTAGTATAGAGTAAGTTCCAACAGGATTTGGAAAGCTTTAGAATCATCTCTATCCATTGATAAAAACATACTTGCCCTGTATTTAGGAACTTCCTGCATTGTGGTTCTAGCTGATGGAGAAGTAGATCTGCCCATTCCCTGTGTTTTTCTGTAATACATTCTACTTGTATACTTGTCCTCACTGAGGAGTATATCAGGATTCTTTTGCAGCTATTAAGATATGCAGGTGTTCTCCATATACCTGTCTCCAGTGGTGTGAACTTGTTAGTGAGGCTTAGTTTATGAAGAACTTTAGATGCAGAGTCTCAGAAATGTAAAGAATATGAGAAGCAGAAGGGCATGCTGACTAAATCTGTTTGTGGACTGTCTTCTTTACAATGTTTTCTTTTACTACAATGAGAAATTTGAGCAGCTCTAGTGATCTGAAAATCCATACTTTGGGAAACCGTGACAGCATATTTGAAAGCTGTTCAATTTTCCCATCTGCACCTCATCATCTTCCTGCTCATTTATGGAAAAATATCTCCTTTTTGACCTGTATCTTTGTGCAATCTAAGTTATTTTGTTTCCCTTCCCGAAAGAGAAATGTGAATGAGTTGGGGGTCTTTAGATGCAAATCTGAGTTAGTAATATAGTATTATAAATGACTATTATTATATTGTATTTTATAATTCATATAATCCCATAATACCAACATTTGCCTATGAGCCCATAGTATATGTTAACCTTAAAAAGCAATTATATTCCATTCTACCAAGGATAAACTAAAATCAAATTGCCAAGTTCTGTAGCAGAATAAAAACTTCTGCCAAGGTGTACTGACTCCAAACCATCATGCTGCTTCATGAAAAAATTTAGATATCATTAAGCAAATTAATGTCCATAAATGGAAGAGAGTCCACCACAGGTAATTAAGAATATCCCTATTTGAAATGTCTCCTGTCCCTCCCACAGAGGACAGATACACCTATTGTGCATTTTGATATATTTTATCCAAACACCAAGAGACCTTTTGTTCAGTAGATCAATTCTAGGCTCAAAGGCTGTCCTGAGTTCACAATTTAGTCACCCAGAAGTTAATATAACTTCTGGGCATGTCAACCTAGCCTTTAGTTTTCCTATCTATAAAATAGGTATAATAATATACCCCACTAATCTGAGGCTTAAATAAGAATGAATAAATGGTTCAGTACTTGGCACATAGAAAGCTCTCAACCTCCTGCTGGTAATCTTTTCTTCCCCCAGTGTTAATGGCATTGCATCAACACCTTTCTTCTAGTGACTAGAGCTCAATAGATTTGAGTCAGGAGGAAGCTTATATTTCTTCTTGAGATTTTTGCCCTTTTATTGTTTTCAAACTACTATCTACTCTATTTTATAAATGAAGAAACTGAGGCCAGTAGAGAATAAGTAAAATGTTGGTCACAACAGACATGACACTGCAGAGCTATGTCTTTATTCTCAGTAACACAAAACATCAAAGACTATCAAAAAGCTAATTTTATGTGCCAAGTTAGTGATAATAGATTTAGATCAATTAAGCCAAACAAAAGAGAATGACAAAATGGCATGTAATAAAAATCTGCTTCTTTCTAACTCCTAATGTTGTTTGACTTTTCCTGTTGCACAGGATTTGGCAAGTCTGAAAATCCCTGAGCAGTTCCGACATGCCATCTGGAAAGGTATCCTGGACCACAGGCAACTCCATGACTTCTCCTCGCCTCCCCATCTCCTGAGGACCCCAAGTGGTGCCTCTACAGTCAGCGTGGGCTCCAGTGAGACCCGTGGTGAGCGTGTGATTGATGCTGTGCGCTTTACACTCCGCCAGACCATCTCTTTCCCACCCCGAGATGAATGGAATGACTTCAACTTTGACATGGATTCTCGTCGCAACAAACAACAGCGTATCAAAGAGGAAGGGGAGTGAGCCCCCATTGTGTGGGCCATTCCTGTTCTCTTCCACCTGCACAGCCCCCACGAGGGCATCCCTGCTTGATCTTCAAAGCACTCTGCCTAGCTCATCTCCTTCCCTTCTCAGTCTGATTTATTTCTAAAGGGAAGGAGAAGTAAGAGGCTACCTCTTACCTAAAGTCTGACCTGTCATCTGATTCTGATTCTGGCTTTAAGCCTTCAAAACTATTGCTTGCGGGACTGTGTTGTCATGGCTAGATAGAAGTGAGCAAGGAAGCCGTGGGTCTCTTGAAGTAGCAGAGATCTCTCATTGACTTTTATAAAGCATTTTCACCTTATAGTCTAAGACTATATATATATATATAAATATATAAATATACAGTATATATTTTGGGTGGGGGCATTGAGTATTGTTTAAATGTAATTTAATGGAAATTGAGTTGCACTTAACTTTTTTTTGGAAATTTGTTTGTTTTGGATGACTTATCTAAACCCCTTTTCTCAGGGGTATCATGTATGGTGATAGATCCCTAGTGCAGAATGATATATGTGAGTAACAGATGTACAGGAGCTCTCTGTTCCTAAGAGGGTTAGCATATATATCACACCAAACCTTTGGATGGAACCAGTGTGTTTACCATTGCTTGTATAAGGTAAAACTGTATATATGTACATGCCTCTCTATGTTGGTATATTTTCTGTTACTGGTGTCTGTTCCCTTGAGACTGGTTCACTTTATTCCTATTACAAGTAAAAGTTCATGATCTTCTGTCACACACTAAAGGAAAGGACATCCTTTCTTGCTTTTGTTTGAGAATGAGGAATACAGGTCATGCCTAAAATTCTTAAAAAGTTCAAGCTAGCCATTCCAAAATATTTGATAGTATATAGCCAGGTATAGCTGTAAACCCCGCCCCCCACCGCAGTTTAAAACCCAGCACTCCAGTGTTTATTAAGAAAATATTTGCTATCATTGCAGTAGCCTGAAAACTAAATTTCACTATTAATCAACTTACACATTTGCTGCTGCTATAATAATTCAGGTTGATTAAGTTGGGATGAATTAAATCTATCTAGTTCTTATAATAAAGTTGTAATGTCCATTATGAACATACAAGAAAAAGAAGAACAATTCAGAAATACTGAGTCTCCAATAAATGGTAACACATCTCATCAAACTATAAATTTAAATTCCTTTGGAAGTATGGATGATACTTGGGAAATGTACATTTTAAATCCCTTCTTATTCCATAACACACTGTATGCTGAAATTTATTAATCTTACTCTCATCAGGTCTAAAATAAGAATAGCAATTTGGAAAATATAAATTTAGGAGAGCAGTTTTCGTGTGTCATCAGTTGCATCACTGTCATTTTTATCTTTTGATCATTAAAATTTGAGTGTGTTGGAAAGTAGCTGTGAAAATGTAGTTTCCCATGTGACTCCTTTGGTATTCTAGGTAGACCTACAAATAAGTCCACAAATAAGGGGAAAACCTTTTCATGGAAGTTGTTTAAACCACATCAACAAAATTTGTTTTAAACTTTGTGAAAACACGTAGCAATATTCCTCCAAGATGTTTTGGAAATATTTTGTAACAGATATTTTTTTTCCAATCTAAAACATGTGTTATATATATGCTAATGAACTCCAAAGTCTTCCCATGCATTCTGGAAAGGACTGTCATTGCACAAAGCTCCCACTTTTATCTTAAAGTGCAAAGGGGCTAATATGGCTCTGAAATATAATGTATAGATTTCAACTAAAAAGTGTGTGTGTGTGAGAGAGAGAGAGAGAGAGAGAGAAACTGCATATTTTGTTGCTTTTATTTGTTTAGTTTTCTCTTTGGGATAGTGGGTTTTCCAGAACCACAAATTTCACTGTTTTTATGTTTCATGGAAACAACATTTAGTGAGAATACAATGTCAAATAAGACATAATACCATAATTGTAAGATGGGGGGAGGGGAAAGTCTTTTTTTTAATTTTTAGAAATTTTGTATGCTAAAGAGAGTAAGTCCTTAATTTCAACATTTTGTCATGCTTAAATGATGATAAGCACTATTAATTTCTGGAACAAGTACAGAGCTTTGCAAGCTCATTAGGGAAAGAATGAAAGCTGTGTCCTGTCATGACTGTGTTAGGAAGACAATGACTTCCTGCATGTTTTGAATGAGTGAGCTATTTCAGCACTAGTAAGGTGGCACTAGGGACTCTGAGCTATTTCAGCACTATTTAGGTGGCACTAGGGACTCAGAAATTTCTATACCGTATCTCAAGAACTTGGCATAGCTAGGCATAGTTCCTTGCCTCACATCAGGTGTTAGGTTAGACACCTTACATATGCGGGCAGGCCAGGGCTAGGGTGAAAATCACGGAGAACAGACATCTGGAAGGAGGCTTCCTAGAGGTCTGTGGACTCAGCTCAGGGCAGCTAGCTGAAGAATGGAGTTATTTTTGCTTAGAGGTGGAATAAACAAGAATTGGAAGCAGAACTCTCTTCATTAAGCCCATTGAACTTTTGTTTTCTTGATGTTCCCCCAAAATATAGTATGTGGGATATTGAATATTAAAGATATGTAGGGTTTTTTATTATTTTTATAATTGTACAAAACTTCATCAGATGTTAAATGTTTTATATACTTTATTCATGTTTTTCAAAAGTACTTTCTTATAGATGTGATACTTTTTTTACAGCTTCAGTTGCTTGTCTTTTGGTATATTTGTGTTATGGGCTTTTGGTAAGCCTAAGGCAAATCTATAAGCCACTTATGTTTGCCAGGACATGCAATAAAATTAAAAAAATAAATGACAAGGCATTGAGAAACTGTGTTCATATGTGTGTTTCTATTTCTTCATCTTTCCAACCTCTCGTCTTTATTTCGATTTTTGTGGAAGTGGAAGAAATACCTGTAATTAAAGTAAATTACAGTACTTCCTAAAAATCCCTTCCAGGGATTTTTTTTATTAAATGAAAAAGTTCATCATTTTGTAGGCTACCATAGGATAATATGAATTCAAAACCATAGACAAATCACAAACTTTGTAGAATATTCAGTATATATATGAAGGACATAAAATATCAATTTTTCATGTCAATGTAATCATGAAAATGCAAGTAAATCTTAAACTGTTTATTGAAAACTAAGTAATAGAATCTCCAAAATAAAGTGATTGGTTTGGTGGTATATATATGAGGGGAAAACCCTGAAGAATTACATAAATGATGAGTACTTAAGGTGTGTCACAGAGCTTTGGATTCCAGTTTTGCTTTGCTGGCTTTCTTGAAAAGTTGTAGCATTTCTTTTTTCATTGAATTTTTTGCATATTTCATATAGAACAGCTCAAATGATCTTAATCATCTTTATATCTCCATCCCCACTGGCAGTCTCCCATAGCACTCCCCCCCTACACTGGAGCCCATGTACTCTGTCATCCTTGTTAAGGCCCACTGGGTTGTCGGTGTCCCCAGGCATTCCCCAGTGCAAGTCCTCCTACTAAGTCTAGTCAGCCTATCTAGAGTCTCTTGTTTTAGGAAGATCAGCTCTTCTTCATCTAGCAGCAATCTGTTGCCAACATTCCTTCAGAGAAGATTGAAGTCTACTATTCATTTTTCCAGTTCTATGCTGGGTTATTGTCTGCCTGAGTTTGCATGGGACTTGTGCATGCTGACACCGTTGCCACAGAATCATATGAGCAGGTTCCTAGGAGCTTGTAGGACTCTGTTTCCATGTCGTCATGCACCTCCTCCCTGACTCTGACAGTCTTTCTGCCCCCTCTTCTGTGATGTTCCCTGAGCCTTGGGTAAGAGAAGTTTAATAAAGCTACCTAATTTGACTAAAAGCCCACTCAAAGGAAGGAAACTCAACTGTGATAATGTAAACATAACCTAATACACATGGCTGGCATGGCCATAGATCTAGAGAAAACTCCAAGACTGTCACATCACTAGATTACTGTTATTTCTTACTGTGTGCAAAATAATATATCCTTATATTTACAAATATCCCAGCCACCACTCATCAAAGAAGGTCATTTTGCACCAGAGACTATTACTAAGCACCACAGCTGGTCACCCATGGACATTGTCTATGAATTGCCCAGGCCTAAGTGACACATCTACAATGCAACCTCTACACCTAAGGCTCATGGAATGTAGAAAAGGGATAATGAAGAGGACACTAATGAATCTCTCAGTCCTCAATAATGAAGCTCCCTCATGCAGCAGAGGGTCAGGAACACAAAAGATCACAAATGACCAAAGGGTAGAGATCAAAAGTCTGCTGAATGATGGTCCCTGGATATGATACCTTTATTAATCTTCTCCCACCCAAGGCATTTCTATGGATTGGTACTTCATGACTTCTCTGTTTTACCTGTCCTCTACAAGAGAAACGAAAACCATTTTCTTCCAATTATCACAAGATCTCTTTAATACTTTATATCATGGAATGTTATTGATCTTATTTTTCCATATCTTGAGAAATTTTTCTTTCATTTTTTGATATACGGATTATTTTCACCTCATTTATGAACACTAATGAGCCAAAAGTCATCTCCATACCTTTTAATTAATGAGACCACTGAAGACTGTTCAGTTACTGTGCTGACCACTTGCTACATGTAACCACAGTGCCTATAGCTGGAGCTCCTCAAAACAGAGATGTGCTATGACCACATAGCACACCTTATATTTCGGAGGTTTAGAATAAAAACAGTGCCAGGGATAGAAATCATGCATTACAGTTTTCATGTGTGAAATACTCAAATTTTAAGAAAAGGAATAAAATGAGTGTAAAATAATTCTTCCATTCTTTAATGTTGATTACATGTTGAAAAGATAGTATTTTGGATTAAGTAAAATCTATTTTATCTGTTTATGTGCATTAAAACATTTAAAATATGACTTTATTGTAGCACTATTGTATAACGATCTTAGAAAAATGATACAGTAAACACACAGAAGGATGATGCCATCAATTTACTGTTATAAAGTTACACAGTTCTGTACAGTGTTGTTCTTAAATACTACATCATCTTTCAAGAAAGCTTTGAGTAATACAGAGTAGAATATCTCGCAGTCAGAGTTTTCTTTCTTCCCATAGAGAAAGAACATTAAAATACAGGAAGTTAGGTTGAAATTGTTAAACTAGGAGACAAACTTACAGAGAGTGGCAACATAGTCTCTGATAATGGTTAAATTGATCATGTAAGTTAAACTGCAGACTGAGCTTTCCTTTGATGGTGTCCTAAATTAAATTTCTCAAGATCAAAGTTCAATGAACAAGGAATTTAGGTATAAGAATAAAAATGACACCTTCATTCAGAAGGTGCTTTGACAGGAAGACTTTTACTAGGTAATATTTTCCACCAAAGCTTGGTCATTCTAGTTTCCTAAAAGGATATGTGGTAGTATTCTTCTACCTCTAATGATTCCTGGGGACCCAAAATTATAACATTCTTCACAGGTGTGCAAATGCCAACAAAAGGTGTCTGTGAAAGGTCATTAGAAATAAATAGATGATGTAGAATGTTCATGAAGTGAACATTCAAATTACTGTTTATAAATCTAAAACAAAATGTTTTGAAATTTTAGAGCAAACAGCATGAATAACCATCCTCTCTTCCCAAAATTTACAAGCTGTAAGTTGTTTCCATAATATTGTATGTATTGTATTTCAGTAATGCAGATGCAAGATGTAAGATGTATATTCAAAAATAGTGATAAACTGGAGCATATTCATGATGTATTTGAAATCTGTGTCTGTAATGTTCCACTTTGCTGCCAGATCATAAGCAGGTAATCAAGATCATGGAAATGAACAATTTATATCTTAGCAATGTTTCTTTTTTTTAATGTATATTTTTATTGAATTTTTGTGCATTTCATACAGAATGTCTCAATCATCTTTATACCCCTTCCCCCATCTGTACCCCGTATAGCTCCCCCCACCAGATTTCTTACATTCTTTCATATATGTTAAGGCCTAGCCTGCCAAGTTTCTGTTCCCAGATGTCCCTCAGTGCAAGTTCATCCATTGGAGTCTAGTCAGCCTATCTAGAGTAGTTCCCTTAAAGAAGATTAGCTCTCCTTCACTCAGCTGCAATCAGGGGCTTATAGTTCTTAAGCTAAGGTTGGAGCCTGCTGCCAATTTCCCTAGTTCTATGCTGGATTTTTGTCTGATTGGGTTTGCATGGGTCTTGTGCACAGTGACACCATTGCTGTAAGTTCATTTGAGCAAGTTTCCAGAGGCCTGGAAGACTGTTACCTTATGATCATGCATCAACCTTGACTCTTACAATCTTTCTACCCCCTCTTCCTCAATGGTTCCTGAGCCATGGGTGGGTGAAGTTTAATGTTAAATGAAGAAGCTTGAGCTATCTGTGGTCTTCATAGGGTTTTTGAAATCTGGGGCCATGTTTTGGGTGCTTTGTTTGCATTGTCTAATATGGTAAAGTAGGGTTCTAGTTGCTGTGCAGGTCTTCCTGTTAGTAAAGTAAAGGGGTGCAATAAATACTGCCTAAGGATAATGTGCACACTGGAGCCTTACTAGTGAATATAAACTCACTCCGTAATCAGTGCAGCCACAAACTGACATAAGCGGTGCTCGGTCTCTCTTTGAATGTTCTTTCTCTTTCGTAGTGTGCGCTAGGACAGGGGACACTTGCATCCTGAGTATAGAATTCCTGCATTTGCTCTGTACTCATAAAAGATGCAGTATCTATGATCACTTTCTGAACTTCATTGACACCAAGACATTTTTCTCGATGATCTAGACATATTTTTTAAGTTTTGCTAATCAATGAATTTTCATGGATAAATACAGAGACAGAGTGAAAAGAACACGGGACTGAAAGAAGTATCATGACAGACCAGGTGCTTCAAATCTGTATGATTAGGGATTGAACACCTAACTTGATTTTATCTTGGTCCTATCCTTCCAGTTACCTGAAGGATGACATAAAAAATCAGCAATTGAGAAATGAAGTCGTAGTATTGAGACCAATCAGAGTCGCACAGTGTAATCTGCATTCAATGTAGATTTTAATTATTTGGAAGCACATTCCTTCTCCAGAGAAGCTTTTCACAAAACAGTAAATATTATATATACTGAACTCAAATATGTGTGTTTCATCAGTTTTCAGCAGTACTTTTAGAGTCATGTTGGGTGTGTCTTTGAACTTTATGAGATTTGTAACTCCTCACACTAATTCCAAACATGTATTTATGCCAAGTGGGTGGCAAGTACTGGCAGGTGAACTTCCCTTTTGTGGTTTTTATCAGAATTCTACACTTAGGACCTCAGAGGATCAGTATTTTGTAATTCAAATAAAAGTTAGATACAGAAGACAAGAAAGGGGAAGTTCTTTCAAACAGAGGAGCTTAGATCAAAAATAACAGAAAATAATGTTAGACGCTCATGAGCTCATCCGATATTTGCTCTGTAACTTGGAACACCACGATCTTATCTCTAAGATAAATCAAGATGATTTTATGAAATGGCTGGATATTTCTGGACCTTAGGTAAGACCTTCTGTTTATTGGTCATTTCACTGTTCTGTTTCTTAGCTAAATTCCCACCACCTGATCTAATGCTTCTTCAATTTATCATTGTCTTCCTAATATTACTCTGTCTCACTAATAATTAAAAGTTAGAGAAAATAGAGCTGGAGAGATGACTCAGTGGTTAAGAACACTGGTTGCTCTTCCAGAGGACCCAGGTTCAATTCCCAGTACCCACATGGTGGCTTACAGTCATCCCCAATT